TGAACGTGTCCTCCATGGCGTGCGGCGCCGGGGAGGTCACGACCGGACTAGTTGTTCGGTCGATGTCGTGGTTTGCCCATGCAAAACCAAAGCTGACTTGAGTATTTGGACCAGCTTCGGGGGTTGAGGATTTACTGTGCAGATTCAGTGTGTAGGTTTGGGGACTTAGGGTTGAGCAGGGGGGGGGGGGGGTGTGTAGGGTACGTATACTCAGAGACATCTTTGTCCGAAGAATCCGGGCCCTGACAGCTCCGAGTCTCCAGCATCCCTCAAGTCAAGAGTAGTCCTTAAAGCACGCTAGCATTATGTAGCTCATGGAACAGAGTGTTCCCTAAATTCATCATAAGAAACCCAAAGTGCTCGAGGAATTGCATCGAGTAAGGGGTGTTAGGCCGGTGGTGGGCTCAGTGATTACACACGGAACCCTTGTGCAATCTTCGTGCGGCCCTGTTCCAATCCCGATGAAAGCTTTACTTAAAAAACATTGAAGGCCCAAAGGAACCCTTGGAAGCCCCAAGGCTACGTACCTTCCAACGCACCTCAGCAAGTTTTTCTGAAGCCAGATCTTGCTGCGTGAATACATGCTCGCCGGTGTGACGGAGACCTGCTGCCGCCCGACCGAGCTTTCGGTTTTTTTTGGAGTTCAGGTTTAGGCTTGATGCTATAAAAAAGCCCCTAAGCCCCTAAACCCTAAACCCCTCACCCCCTAAAACCTTAAACCCTAAACCCGGTTTTGCAAGGTCTCAAAAGGTGCATGGGGAATTCTGTAAGGACCTTAGACCCTCCTCAGAGACACCAACTCCGAAACCCTCTCAAAGCCTTTACTAAGCCACCAAAGGAACTTCCTACAAGAGGTTCAGGGTTTAGGGTTTAGGGTTTAGGGCTGATGTAGCCCTTGTGCCTTAAATCCCGAGCTCTAACATCTCACCGCCCCCGAGGTCCCGAAGCCAATCCCCTTTGCGCTGGATGCGCCCTGTGGAATACCGCCACGCAGTCCTGCGGCGCGTCGCTGTAGCTGAAGGATGCGGTTTGGGGGTTGGAGGCTAGACGTCCTACTCTTATTTCAGTTTGGCTTATTAAGGTACGTTCCCGCGTTTCAGGGGTTTTGGGCTCCTTGCACACGTCTCAACATCTGCCAACAGTTTCCGAGCCCTTCATCCCGGAACTCTTGCATAGAATATCACGGAACTTAGTATGTAGCCCTAAACCCTAAACCCCACACCCTGAAACCCGACACACAAACGGCGATGAGTAGAGTCGCGAGTCGGAGAACCCCGAAAGGCCTAAGTCCCCGAATCCCTCAAGCAAGGCCTTTTAAAAAAAGGCTGCCGAAGCGAAGTTCGCAGACCCCAAACCATAGGCCCCAAGCCTAGCATGTAGGGGGTTTGGGGCTTAGGGTTTGCTCGTTTAGGGTTTAGGGTTTGGGGTTTGCAAAGCCTAAAATGTTCAGGCCTGCTTGCCTCGCCCTCTCCGAAGCAACACATGCTCCGAACGAGCCTCGCAGCATGCCAGATACGATCCGTTCAACCCAACAAAGCTTTGAAGGCGCTTACATACATGTGCAACAAGCCATTCACATTAGCATCGTCATTGCGGTCTTTATCTACCCCTGGTATTGTGATGGCAATAAACATGTCAAAGGTGCGCCGGTGGCTTTGTACCGCGCATGCAGGCAGAGTCATAGCTCCGCTCTCTTGTTCAGTCTGCTGCCTAGGACTGGGGATAGCTCTGTTGGTGTAGGTTAGCTTGGGAATTCAATCATCCGATACCCTAAACCCCGAAACCCCAAAACCCTAAACCCCTAAAGCCCTAAAACCCCAAAGCCCCTAAACCCCTAAACCCCTAATCCCTAAACCTTAGACCCTAAACCCCTAAAGCCCTAAAGCCCCTAAACCCCTAAACCCCTAGACCCCTAAACCATCATCCGATACGATACGTGTTGTTTTGTCGATCCGTGAGGCTTGGGCTTCACGGTGACTTGCATATTCTGGGACTCTTCTCTCGTTTAGAGGGTTCCTTTAAGGGTTCCTTTAAGGGTTTGGGGCTTCAAGATGTTAGCCTTGGACAGAGGGCGCTAAGAAGTGGTCTCAGAATTCAGGACTCAGCTTCCCGCCAGCAGCCACAAGAGCCTAAAGGAGAAGCGCTGTTAACACTCGGTCCCTGAGTAGAAGCCTTTAGCTTTTTTTTTTGGGGGGTATGGTTCCCTTATGAAAGCTGAGTAACAGGAAAAAGGGGTACAACTTATTATTTAGGGGTCACTCAGGAACCTAGACCCAGGTTTGGGTTTTGCCGCATCAACCCTGAAGCCACCGCTTCCGGACAGCCAAGACCCTGAAATGTGTTTAGACGCGGATGCCAAGCCCGAAACCTTGAGCTGAACCCATAGAACCTAAGCTCTACAAGCCCTTGAATCCAAACCCTGCAAGCCTTAAGCCCTGAATGCTACACACTGAATGGGGTTGATGTTAGGGCGTTGGCGCGGGTTGTTGGACTATCGGCGAGTGTTCATTTTGGCTGTAACTCTGAGGCACTAAGAGTAAAGCCCTTCTTTAAAGGCCTTTTTTAATGTCCCGATGACATTCCCGTTTTAAGGGGTTTACTGATCAGGGGTCTACAGTACTTCAAAACCCGAAACCCCAAACCCTACATCCAGAATCCTAAACACCCTAAGCCCCTGCACCCCAAAATCCAGAACACTAAAGCCTAAAGCCTAAACCCTACACCCAAACCCTACCACCCTAAACCCCTAAACCCCTAAACCCCAAAACCCTAAAGTCGACCTGGCAGGGCTCCAGCTCGGAGAAGAGCTGCGTCGCCTGTTTGGATTCGGCGGGCTGGGTGGGCTCCGACGGGAGGTGCCATCTGGGCGGTGTTGGGGGTTTAGGGCTTAGGGTTTAGGCTTTAGGCTTTAGGGTTGAGGGTTGAGGGGTTTAAGGGTTTAGGGTCCAGGGTTTAGGGTTGAGGGTTTAAGTTTAGGCTTTAGGGTTTAGGGTTTAGGGTTGGGGTTTGGCGGTTTTTCTTCTTCGTGGCTCTAGGCGGGGGGTGACAAGGGGTACTATGAGGGCAGTTCTTTTGACCGGTTTACAGGGTCAGGGTTCAGGCAGCTGAGTAGTTCAACTTTCGGAAATGTTCCGCTGTACTACATTCCCTCAGCCCCTACATCCTAAACCCTAAACCGAAGCCTCAAAGAAATCCGAAGCCTTCATCCCCCCAAAGCCCCACAACCCCAAAACCCCAAACCTGACAGCCTAAGCCCTCTGGATGAGCCACTACTACTTAAAACATAAGAAGCCCTAAGCCTAAGCCCTAAACCCTGAATACTCCGTGGCAGACTTTTTTATATGGGCTAGAAACCATCAACTTAATCGCTGCTATGGCAAAGAAGTTACATGCGTTCCACATGAAGAGGCCTTCGCAAGATTTTAAACAAAGCTCCCAGCTATTGCCAACGCAAAGCTTCTGGACGAAGCAAGTATGATTGCATTTCCAAGCCGGGACGACCGACAACAGATGCTATTATTTGGTGAGTTCCATAGCCTAAGACGCGCAAAGCTGTCAGGTCATATGCTTCATTGTACAAATTCAGATCCTTTAAAACAGGTACCGTTTATGCTCAGCATTGCCACTAGACTTGACTATGGCAAGAAGCGAGTTGGGAAGCACCGGCAGACGTGGATACACCACACAAAAAAGTTCGCGTGGGAAGAGACGCCTGGAAGAATATTGTATGAAGGTAACACCGGCACAGGATAATCTCGTCTATAACGCGAGTTTGCAAAGACAATTTTAAAGCGTCTGTAGAGGGTAAGCCTGCTCCGCCAACGCGGTGTTCTGAAGTTGACGTACAGTCGATTCACGGCATGGCTTTGGAAAGAACCCTGCACCCTAAACCCGATCCTTAAATGCCTAAACCCCAAACCCTAAACCCTTTACCACATCCCTATTAAAGCCCTCAAAAGAACCTTAAACCCCTAGAGCCCTTTTTGAAGCAAAAGAAATCCGAAACCCGAAACCCGAAGCCCTAAAACCCTAAATTCCTATACCCCGAAATCCCTAAACCAGGCGCGTAAAAATCCTGGCACTTTCCTGCTTGCCCCCATGGGCAAACCATATAGCCTCCACCCAGACCTCATCCGCTCTGCGATCCATGTCCCAAAACCATGATAACGTCATCCATGGGCCAAGACCATGATAACGTGCACCCAGACCTCATCTATTGTCCAGTGCATCCATGGGTCAATCGTGATAACGTCCACCTAGACCACGTCCGCTCCCCAGTGCACCAGCGCCCATGGGCCAAACCATGAAACGTCCACCAAGACCTCGCCCGTTCCCCAGAGCATCCATGGGCCAAAACCATAATCACGTCAATCCAGACCTCACCCTTCCGCAGTCTAAAACCATGACAACGTCCACGCAGACCTCATCCGTCCCCCATGTGGGTCAACCGCGAGCATCCATGGGCCCACTGCATATGATAACATCCACGCAGACCTCGTCCTTTCCTCAGAGCATCCATTCGCCAACTGTGATAGCGGCCACCCAGACCTCTTGCGCTCAAAGAGCCAACGGCACATAATGCATCACATCATATGACTGGAACTCAGATTATAAACTGATGGCAGCAGACCTCACAAGGACTCCCCCACCGAGTTCCGAACACGAAGTGCCCAAAACCCGAACGAAAAGCATTTCGCATGCGTTTAGTCTCCAGGTTTTTTGTGCTCCTGTGATGCCCTAAGAGCCCCTACAAAAACCTTAGGCCCCTGCAGCCTTTTCAACAAAACTTAACACCCCCATTCAAACCCTTAAAGAGAACCTTAACCCCCTCTCCTACAGCGCTTTTTTGAAGGAGCTCTAAACCCGAAATCCCTAAACCCTAAATCCCTAAACGCTGAAATCCCCAAAAACTCCAATACCCCGAAACCTTTAGGGCTCCTCCTCCTTTGAAGGAACTGCCAGCAGCTGAGCTCCAGCGACTGCTCGGGTTCGAAGTTTCACGGCCTCAGCAGCAACGACGCCTGCTGCAAGTGCGGAGGAGGCGACTGTGGTGGGAGTTTTCTGTTTCTTTTTCGGGTTTCGGTGGATTGTCAGGTTGTTTTTTGATTTTAGGGTTTCGTGGTTGCTGCTGGGCTCGAGGCTGTTTTTTGCTTCAGGATCTTAGGCTTTGGAGGGTCTGGGCTTCCGGGCTGTATGCCCTTAGGGTTCTGGTGGCTAAGGGTTTTGGCCCCAGGGTTCATAGGGCTCCAGGAGACGCTTAGAGCGTCCAGTTGCCGGCTTAGGCCTGAAGGTTTGGGGGGCTTTAGTGATTTTAAGTATTGCCCGTGTTAGCTTCAGGGTTTTGAAGCACTTCATAACTTGGGGACGCCACGAACCTGAGGAGAGTCATAGGATCAGCTAAGGGGCTCCCACACCCTTCACCTCAAGAATATGTGGGTAGTTTTCTAAATTAGGGTCCCTTTCTAGGTCTGCACGGTAGTATGGCAGCCGTCCAAAACGGACCCTAAAAGGGATCCTAATCTAGAAAGCTGCCCATATCCATAGGAACCTTCAGTCAGTTCCTTTTAGGCACTATTTGTTGCTTAAGGGCTTCGGAGTCGGTCAGGACTCTTTGTCGATGCTGTAGTCAATTAGAGTAGCTTATAGTATATCATGGCATACTATGGTGTCTCGTAGTCCGTTCTTGCTCCCCACGGCCTCTAATGTTTCTTTACTAGAATGTCCCTTTAGTAGGACTTTCACTCCAAGGATCGTTGCGGCGACCTGAAGCGCTAGGCCCTACGCCCTAAACCCCAAAGCCTAAACCCTAATCTTCTGAATCACAGGAGATCGGTTTAGGGTTTAGGGTTTAGGGTGTTGAAACACAAACGCAAGACAGCCCCGAGACCTCCTGGTCATGTTCTCTGCTCCCGAGATGGAAGCGTCAAATTGCGAAGGGGCCCGAGTATAAAGCCTTGTGAGGGTTCCTTCTCAGGGATACTACAAGGATTCTATGGTATGGGGGTTTCCGAAAATAGGGTACCCTAATATAATACCCTAAATAGTAGGATGCTTATTATAAGGACTCCAAAATAAGGTAATTTTCGGAAAGTCCCATATGGGGGCCTTCAGAATGAGGATAGGGACCCTAAAAGGCAGGAGCCCTAACACATGCCATGCACGCCTCTGGCGCCATAGAACTTCAGAAGAAACTTTGCAAATCCCCTTTGGAGCTCTCTAAATCCTACGGGCCTACAGTACCTCCCTACACCCTAAACCCTAAATCCCTAAACCCTAAACCCTAAATTTCGGAGCGCAGGTGTGGTGAGCCCAACGCCGTTTTTGTATGAGACGAAGGAGCTCACTTGCTGCAGAAGCTGTTTAGGGTTTAGGGTTTAGGATTTAGGGTTTAGGGTTTAGGGTTTAGGGTTTAGGATTTACGCATTGTGCCAGCTGCACTGCTCGCGCTGTGCATCCGCTACAGAGCTTAACATCGCTGTATATGATCTCAGTATGACCCAAAACCCCAAACCCATGTAGGAGTACGTGGATTTCATGATGTAGGGTTTCCGGATCTAGGGTTAATCTGGTCGCCGCTTGTGCCGGGGATTGCACTACGCTTCCATTCGCTTATGTGGTCTATGCCTCATGTGCTAAAGAGTGATTCCCGATGTTGTAAGGTAAGTCTGGTGTATGCCAGCTTTGTGTGTAGCACCCGGAGCCGTGCATTCGAACAACCCAGTCTGCGCCATGCAAAGCTTCTAAATCCGGCTCCACCACAACCCCAAACCCTCAGCACTAAACCCTAAACCCGTAACCCCTAAACCCCTAAGCCCCAAACTCCTAACCCCTAAACCCTAAGCCCCTAACCCCAAGCCCTTAAACCCTCTTCTCGTCCCTCTCTTCTGAGGTTCGTCGTGGGTGAGACAGTGTCCATGTTGCCGAAACCCAGCACCTCGAAGAGCAGCCAGAGCTTTGGGGGGGGAGTCAGGGCTTCTGGGGTTGAGGTTTGGGCTTAGGTTTAGGGTTTAGGGTTTAGGGCCCTTAGGGTTTAGGGTTTTAGGGTTTAGGGATTAGGGTTTAGGGGTTTAAGGTTCAGGGTTTAGGGTTTTAGGGTTTCGGGTTTGCTGAGTGGTAGAGTAGGTAGTGGTTGAGGCCTGCATTTGCCGAGCCCAGGAACTGCCAGTCGCTATGGCGTGGACGAAGACTGCGCATTGACTGAGTTCAACCTCACCATGGACGGAGCTACCGGGGAGGTGCCTCCGGGGTCTACTGGAACCTATAAGGGTTATATATTCTATTGGGTTCCTAAGCGGGCTACCAAAAGGGTTCGGGGTTTTTGGGGATATTCGGGCCTAATTAGGGCTTATGATTGTTGATGGAGCTGCCGGTAGTTAGCAGAATTTGGGTTTTTGGAGACGACTGCCGGAGTCTCGCGCTCTTGTCGAGTAGCAAAATCACTCCAGACGCCCTGAAATCTGCGTTCCCCCGCAGGGTTTCGACCGGTCGAGGATTGAAAGCCTTGGAGCTTCATTCCTGGATGTTTTTTTTTCCCCGGAGTTCCAGGTTTCAGGTGCTAGGGCCGTTTTGGGTTTCGGGGCTGCGTGAGACCTTGAGCACAACCCTATTGCCGCTGGAGACTTCGCGATGCGTTGGGGAAAAGAGTAATCCCAGGATCACTGGCTTTTGTGAGGGCCTGAAAAGCCTGTTTCTATGGTGGGATTACAAGTGTTCACCGAGGTTCCACGTACAAACTTGATCCCCTGACCGACGTGTCAATGCAAGGGCAGAGGAAGCCTGCGTGGGAGATTCCCGGATGGAACAGCCCTGAAGCCCCGGAAAATCTTCGCCGGAAGCCCTAACCCTAAACCCTAAACCCTAACTCCTTGTTCACTGACCACTGACTACAGACCTGATACATGCCAAGTGAAATATAAAAAAACCTCAAACTGAACGCTCAGCCCTCGTAGCACTGTGTAGAGATGGAAGCCCTAAGCCCTACACCTTAAAGCTTCCACCTAAGCCTAAACCCTAAACCCCTGAACCCTAAGCCCTCCTTTAGAACCTGAAGGGCCGGGTGGAAGCCCCCACCTTAAACCTTAAAGGAACAACCTAAACGCAAAAACCTTAAGCCCCAAGCCCTAAAGCCTAAACCCGGAAACCCTAAGCCCTATACCGACCCTAAACCCTAAACCCTAAACCCCCCTAAACCCCTAAATCGGGTGGGCCCCGGTGGCAGGTGTCCTACGCGCCAGGCCTCGACATGCCCAAGGAGACCTTCTCCGTGACCTGCAAGGCCAGCTGAGAGTTTGGGGGGTTTAGGGTTTAGGGTTTGGGTTTTAGGTTTTAGGGTTTAGGTTTAGGTTTAGGGTTTAGGGTTTTGGGTTCAGGGTTAGTAACCCAATGAGTACACTTTAAACTTTCCGGGATAATATGGTCCCTGATAGAACTGAAAGTGTACACTTTTATGTGCTTATGAACTCAGCAACTAAGTAGGGTTTAGGGTTTAGGGCTTAGGTTTAGGGTTCAGGGTTTAGGTTTAGGGTTTAGGGTAGGGCTTGGGGTTCAGCGGGTTTGGTTTAAGGTGTAAGGTTTAGGGAGTTTAGGGTCTAGAGCTTTCTAAGGGCCTAGGGTGTTAGGGTTCGGGGTAGGCCAGCCAAGGCTCCGTCGTTGAGTTGTCAAGCCTGGATTCAGATGTGATTTGGGCTTGGGGCCTGGGGTCTATATGGTATAGGGTTTAGGCGTAGGGCTCTGGAGTTGAATTGTTTAGGGTCTGCCTATAGGGTTCAGTGCCAGGTTGGGAGTTCAGGAGTTGCTTTGCTGCCCACCTGTGATCCTGTCCGACAGCCCGGCATTCCCAGCAGTCTAAAGCGCCCGTGTGCAGGTACTCCATGGAAGCTAAGGTGGCAGGTATATGTAGTAAGACGCTAGGCTGTCCTTACTCTGGTCTCTGAACTCCGGGGAAAGCCACTAAACCCTAAACCCTAA